TGGCCGGGGCGTGCCGGATAAAGGTGCGCTGGAAACCCCGCACGGTTTAATTAATGCCACATGCCTCTCACTCGGCGGGTTGCGTGGGTTGTTAATTATTTTTATAAAGAAAATAATTAGTCCCAATCAAGGCAGAAGCTCTCCAGAATTACAGCTCATTAAGCGCTCGCACATTTTTCTGTTCTATAAAAAGTCGTGTGGCGCTGATGAAAATTACAGGCCCTTGGAAGCAGCATGAAATACAAATCCAGGCAGTGTCACCATCCCGTTACCACCAGCCGCATCGCTTTGGCTTCAGCAACTGCAGCTGGAGCTGAAGTGCAGGGCTCTCTGCTCCCTACCAGCGCTCTGCTCTGCCCGTTAGCGTGCCGGCACCAACGTGACCCCCAGCAGTGGCCCGGCCAAGGACATCCCCAAGGAGGTGACAGCCACCGAGGGAAAAGGGACACCTTGGCGAGGGGTTGAGGGATGCTCAGGCTGGGCTCAGCTCCCCCACGGCTAAAAGAGGGGACAAGGAGCAGCCTCAGAGCAGTGGGGTCACCCCGGTGGGACACGGGCTGTCAGACGCAGAGGGGTGCTCGTGGCGGGGTGCGGGAGCGTCCCCAAGCATCCCCGGCCAAACCATCCCAATGTGCTGGGCCCGGCCCTATTGAACGCCGCAGGGGCTTCGCTCAGAGCCTAATTGAAAGAAATCAGAGCACGGTGAAGGGAGCTGAGGCCAAATCGATAGCGGAGCAGCGGGGAGGGCGAGCGGGACGCCGGCTTCGCTGCCGCTCCACCATGAACGGCGCGGTGAGCCCCGGCCCCTGCTCCTCATGCAACAAACAGGGACGTGGGGAGGAAGGCGAAGACGACGCAGGCAGCTGAAAATAAAGGTGTCTGGTGGGAAACCCACAGCCTCAGCGGGGCAGCTTGAGCAAAGCCCTACCTCCCCTCCCGCACCCCGCACGCCGGAGGTCTTTAGCTGTGAAATCTCTCATAATGCAAAAATCTTTCTCTCGCTGGGCAGTAGCCGGTTCTTCATCCTCACAGCTGAAATCCCAGCCTCCTGCCCCAGTCCTCTCCTGTCGCACCCAAAGTGCCATGTTCAAGCACACCCAGGCAAAGCCAAAAATCCCCAAAATCCCAAAGCCAAAAACCCCAAACTGCAGCCCCAGCGCTGCCCGGCTGTGCCAGGGCGATGCTCTGCTGGCATTCGGTGTTGGCCAAAAGCCATTTTCTCATCGTGACCCTTGGGTTCCTGACCACTTCCAGCCACTCGCACATGCAGACGAGGCGTGCACCAGCCGAGCCCCCGTTCCTAATCCTTGGGATTTGGGATCGAGCATCACAGTGGTGTCTGCAAACCCTATCTGCACACTGGGCCTTCCTCTGGCCCCGGGAACAAAGAGGGAAGGGGGCAGCGAGCAGAGCAGAGCAATCCCGAAGGAGCAGCACCCTGCTGAGCACCTCGTCCTGCTGCCCACCCAAGCACACTGGGAGCGCACTGGGAGCGCACTGGGAGAGCCCCCGGAGCCCGGCCGGCTGCAGCCACCTGGTCTTGTTTCATTAATGGAGAGACATCAATTAAACACGGAGCGTTAAACGAGTCATCAGTGAAGCAATTAGCCCCAACCACAGGCTGGGGGCTCAGGGACCCGGCTCAGCCTCGAAACGCCTGGCTGAGCGCCTCCTGCCCCAAAAGAGGCATATTTCAGCCCAATTCCACCATCCTGCTGCAGGACGGCATCCTGCGAGCATCCAGCCAGCTACAGGGCTGCCTCCCTGCAAAAGGCCAAGAGCGGCACAGGGTCCCCAGCACGTTCCCCCGCTCCTTTCCCCCTTCCAGCCGAGTTCGTTCCCACTTTTAGTTTTTTTTTAAGCCCTCCCTGCAGTCCCCGCTGCAATGGCAGGGAAGGCGCTCCCGTCGCTTGCACAAAAAAATAAAAAAAATTGCTATTTTTACACTCCCGGCTCCCTCAGCTGCCGGAGGAGCCAGCCCCGAGCCTCCTGCAGCAGGGGGGCTGCGTGGCCCCGCTGAGCGGGCACCAAACCCAGCGCCCGCCCCGACCCTCCTGGGCTGCTCGGGGCCTGGCGGAGATGAAGAGGTTTCGGTGGCCGCAGGAAGAAAAGGTGGAAATAAAGAGAAAAGGGAAGGGCGGTCATGCACAAAATGATTTCATTTCGCTGACGCGGGGAGCGCGTTTGATAAGTTCATATTAGAGAAAAACCTAAAGAAAGCCCAAAGAAAGGCCCGGCTGCAAGACAGGAGGTGGGGGGGATGAAGGCTCCAGTGCCTTGGGGTGGCAGTGCTGGGTCCCACAGCCCCACATTTTTATTTTTATTACCCAGACCTCGAGGCAGGGAGGCGATCTCCCTGCAGGGGTGCGGGCTTTATGAGCCCCCTTTTCCATGCTGTTCCCTAAGGAGAGCCCAAGTCCTTTTTTCGGGCACCTCTCTCATTGCCAGGAGGGGAGCAGGAACACGAGGGGTGTTTTCCCCAGGGCTTTTGGGGGTCCTGCATCATTTTTAACCTCGGCTTCATCCTCCAGAGCCTTGCGAGACCCCTGGAGGTGCAGGGGCAGCCTTGGGGGGACGTTTGGTGGCCGCCAGAGCCCAGCAAATGCTCTCTGATGAACTTTTCCCCATTGGAAACGGGCCCAGCGGAGGCAGGTGGATGGGGCTGTGCAGAAGGAGGAGGAGGAGGAGGAAGAGGAGGAAGGCACCGTGGGTCCCCCGAGCATCCCCGGCTCTGTCCTCGCCGCCTTCACCCCGGGCTCCCCCCAGCAGCCCCCGAGCTGCCTAATTAGTGCCGCCGCCGCCGTCCAGCTGGAGCTGGAGGGCAGGGGCAGACAAAGCCTCCCTATTGACAGCACCCCCGAGGACTGGGGGGGGGCTTTTCTTCTCTCCCCCCCCCCCTCCCCTCCACTTCTCCACTTTTCTTTTCAAGCCCCGCTCCCCCCGTTGGGCCAGGGCCACGGGCTCATTAGCGCTGCGGCTCGTTGGGAGCAGATGGCAGCCAGGCCCGGCCGCCTCTCCCCGCGGAGCAGATGCCCGGCGGACAAGGGGGGATTAGCAGAGCCGGGGGGGCCGCAAGCTGGGTCCGTGTCCCCCCCCACACCTCTCCAAGCAGCACGCCCTGGTGCCGATGCTCGGGGACCCAGCAGTGCCAAAACGCTGCGGGTTGGGATGGGAGACAGCAGGTGCCCCATCCTGTCCCCAAAATCACCGGTGATGGCAAAGCAGGTGGCAAAACGGTGCTCGACACCCCCCAGAACGCAGTGACCCCCCCCTCCCTGCCCTGCCACGCACGGCACGTCCCGGGGGACTGGGGGTTAAAGCGCAAATCCCTGCGCTGCCCTGGTGTGACCCAGTTCGGCCATCTGGCAGGCACGGACACAGCCTCATCCCCCCTTTGTCCCCCCCCAACGCCGTTACCTGCCCCAGGGTGAAGTCCCCGGGGGTGGCCGGGGGGTGACAGCGGGCAGGTGACAGCCCCGGGCCCCTCGGTGCCCCCCTCTGCAAAGCCGAGCGTTTGCCGGCCGCGCTGCAGCAGCTGCGGGCTGCTCGCCGGGTAATTAGGCTCCGGCACCGAAATAACGAGCAGCCACCCGCAGCCTTCTTGCAAAAGTGAAAAAAATAAATTAAAAAAGAGTCAGACCAGAAGAAAGTGAAGACGGGAAGCGGACCGCCTTGATTTTTCCCCTTCCGTGCCACGAAGCGCTCGGGAACCCCTTGGCTTGGCAGGAGCCCCCCCCTGGGTAAGTGGGCAGCCCCCGGCCAGGATTAATGTATTCTTTTGTTCCGGGGATGAAACGTGGTTTTAGCAGGGCTTTAACCCGCTGAACCTCCCCGGGAGCTTGATGGGAATTAAGATGGAAGGGGATTTATCTCCGGGAGCGGTGCTGAGGGATGGGGCAGCGCCGCGCTCCGTTTTTTGGGGGGCTCGCGGGGAGCCCACAGGGCACGGAGCCTCCCAGGGGGGCTGCGGGGCCAGCTGGAAGGAGGAAAATCCCATTCTGCGAGAGGAAAAGCCCTGCTGCCCCACGGCTGTCAAGTGTGGGAGCAAACAGAGAGCCAGCTGGTCACCGCAGCGCCTCGCCGGGCTACCTGGCCTCCCCACCTGCCCCCGGTGCTGCTCGGCTTTAGGGGATTTGCTCCTAAATTAGCCTGGCGTGCTCTCGGGGCCACGAGGCCGATGGGATCGGTGTTGCCGTGAAGCCTTCGGGAAAACCAGAGCGGGCTTTCGGAGGGGTGCAGAGCAGGCGCCCAGCTCCGAGCCTTTCCCAGTTCCCAGTGCCGGTTCCCAGTTTCCCAACCCGAGCAGCCCCAGGAGGCAGAAGCCTGGCTCAGTCCCTTGGGAAAACAATGCCGAGAGGACGGCTTTTAACACCATCAGGCAGCCAACAAGACAAATTCGGGTGCTCCCAAGCCGGGAAGGCGCTGTCGTGAAGAAGCCGCACGGGTCCTGGCGCATCCGATGGCCCTGCTGGGTACCGGCTGGGCACCGCTGCCCCTTTGCCTTTTTCTGCAGGTTTTTGCCCCAACCGCACGCCTGGCAAGGCAGGGGCTGAGCACAGGGGTGGCCACAGCCCCTGGGCTACGAGTCCTGGGGGTGTCATTGTCCCCTCACCCCGTCCCTAGTGGCTGCCCCCCCCCGGGTCACCTTCCCGCGGGGTCTGGGTGCCGCAGGGACCAAGCCAGCGGGACGCACACCCCAGGGGCTGCACGGTGGGGCTGGGGGCGCCCCCGCTTTGTGCCTGGTGACCCCCCCCAGTTTCCCCCTTTAACCCTATAGCCCAGCAAGAGCTTTCCAGCCCCCTGCTCGGAGGCAGCCAAAGTTTCCCGAGCGTGCATCAGCCCGGGGAGGGATCCCCCAGCCCTGCGCGCGGGGGTCCCTTGGGACCCCAACCCCTAAGTGAGCCCCTCGGGGGTGGCAGAAGGAGGGGAACCAGCAGGGATTTGGGGGCAGAGCCCGGTGGCGGTGCTGAGCCTTGGGGGGGGGTTCCCCGAGCCCTTACCTGGGCAGCGGCTTGCGGGCGGTGATGCTGGCCACGATGATGCTCTCGGGGCGCGGCGTGGCCACGGCTTTGAAGGTTCCTCGCCAGAACTTCTCGAAGAGCTGCTTCTCGCCCTGCTGCACGCTGGCCATGGCCCCGGCACGGCTCGGCACGGCTCGGCACGGCTCCGCTCCGCCGCTCTCCGCGGTGCTGATCGCTGTTACATCCCTCCCGGCCCCGCACGGCTCAGGTTGGGGTGCCCGGGGCTGCTGCGGCTCGGGGTTAGCCCGGTTCGGCGCGGCTGGCGGGGGGCGTGTGGGGCCGAGCCGCTCCCGGCTCCCGTTTTGTGGCTGCGAGGCGGGGAATGGGGCCGGGCCCCGCCGCCGTCCCCTCCCCGGTGCCGCCTCCCGCAGCTGCTCCGCCGGGAGCAGCCCCGGACCCAGAGCATCGCCGGGGCTGCAGCATCCTGGATCCGGAGCATCCCTGGACCAGGAGCATCCCTGGACCAGGAGCATCTCACCAGGAGCATCCCTGGATCGGAAGCATCCTGGATCCGGAGCATCCCTGGACCAGAAGCACCCCTGGATCCGGAGCATCCCTGGACCGGGAGCCCCAGGATGGTCTCCACCCAAGTACATCGCCCGTTTTATTACCCAAATGGGCCCCATGGTGACCAGCCCGGGGCTCCCGGTCCAGGGGTGCTCCCCAGGAGCATCTCCTCTCTGGCTGGGTTCAGCCTCTGGTTTTGCCCTCTCCCAGCTGCTCACTGAAAAAAAAAATATAGGCACCAGCTCGGATCACCAAGAGGAAAAGCAGCAGAAAGCCACGGGGAGCTTTCTGTATCTGGTCCACACGGGGATCTGCACAAGGAAGGGATTTGGGAAACAAACTCTTCTTTTCCTCCCCCTCTATCCTCTCCCATTTAACAGCGAGGTGGAGGGGCAGGGCTGGGCTTTGCTGCTTCTCAGCCCCAGCTCTGGGGCAGCAGCAGGGAGGGAAACCCAAAGCGGCTCCAAAACCAAGGGCTCAGCAGCCGGGGCAGGATCCAACCCCTCCTCGCCACCGGGGCACCTGGGCTGGGGCAAGTGCAGCGGCATGATCCCCCCAGCTTCTTGCACCGAGCCCAATAAAGCTGTTTCTGGGAGAAAATGCTTCTCGGAGCCGGTGCTTGGGAGCACAAGTGAGAGGCGGTGACCTTGGGTGGCGGAGGCGCTCGCTATTGTGCCTCGGCTCGCCGCGTGCTGCTTTATGTAAGCAGCTGGGGATGGCAGAGCCAGGAACAATAGGCAGCGGGAGCTGAGGAAGGAGGGAAAACCACGGCAAACTTGATCACCTCCTTGCGATGGATGCAAAATTAGCAGGAGGTAGCAGGGCGTTGCCTGTCTGACATCCTCCAGCCCCGCTGCTTTTTGCTTTCTGTACCCAGAGCCCAGGGCTGCGGCCCTGCACGGAGAGCAGCAAGCCTAAAACCCTAAAACCTCAGCAGCAGCAGAGTCAGGCAGAGGTCCAGCAGGGCTTTGTAAAACACAGCCAGCTCCACCTGGAAAGCCCGAGGGGTTCGGACAGCATCTGCACGGGCAGAGAGCTGACCTTGTCCTATGGGGACAGCTTCACACCCAGCTGGTGCCCCTGGGGCTCCTTTGGTGCTGCCGGTGGGGATGCTGGAGCAAGGGGGGAAGGATCCCAGCCTGATGCTGATCCCCCCCCATAAATGCAGCTCGTTACCCCAAAACCCAGCCCAGCACCAGCTCCCAGCTCTGCAGGATGAGTGCAGCCACCGCCAGCTGCAGCCGAGGCCCCACGGCACCACGCAACGCTTCCAGCCCGCCTGGCCCTTCTCTCCTCTAATCCCCAGGCCACCTGGCCCCAAACGAGCCCGGCTGTCCCCTGTTGTCCCCCAAAGCCCAGCCCACACCTGGAGCTGCTCCGAACACCCCCGATCTGGCTGCTGAATGGGAGGAATAACAAATGTTTGCGCTATTAAATCGGCAGCGCGGGTGGCGTGTGAGCAGGGGGGAGGCAGCGATCGCTACGAGGTGAAACCTCTCCTGGCGTACCTCGCGGGGACATCGGCAGCCAATTAAGCAATTGGCTCCCTTAACGGAGGCTCCAAGGGATGCGCCTCCCCGCCGTACAGCAACGGCGCTGCAATAAATCGCCTCCTAAATAAACAGCCGGGGAAAGCGGCGCAAGACACCCGCAAAAAGCACGGCGGTGGCACCGGCACGGCTGCCAGCCCCGTGCCATCCCCCGGTGATGCTTAGTCCCCCTTTTTCCTCCCCCAAATCCAAAGGGTTAACCTCCCTAGTTTAGATCTGGGGTGAGCAGCAGCAGAAGCTGCCCCCACCGCGGGTGAAGCCTGCCCGGGGCCCTCGACAGGAGCGAGCAGTGGGGTGGCTCCGTGCGTGCTGAGAGGTGCCCCCGGGGACGGGAAGCAGAAAATGTGTTTACCCAGGATTACATTTTAATCTCTTCCCCCCTTCTAGAGAGAGAAGAGAGCTGGGTTTGGCCTGGAGCCGGACAAAGATTTTTCTATAAACGTTGAATTTTCCCTTGGGTTTGGATTATTTGCTCAGTGTGCGACGTGCCGCAGAACCCCAGTGGGTGCTGAGCACCTGCTGCTCTGTGCCCACGGTGCTTGGGGTTCCTGAATCCCCAGGGAAGCAGACCCAGGCCTGACCCCATGTCCCCATGTCCCCATGGCCAGGACAGTGCTGGTGCAGTGACCCCACTGCCATGGCACCATCCTGGCACCTCGACCCACACCTCCATGCCCCATTGCCCCCACGGCAAAGATGCTTCAGTGACACGAGGCCAGAGGAAGAAACAGAGCTTGGTCTTGCACAAAACCTCCCCATTTCCATCTCCACTTCATCCCCCAGCCAAGCAGGCTTCCTGCAAATGCAGAAAATCAATAATTACCTTTGGAAGTATTCATTAGATCTCGAGAGTCAATAAACAAAAGCTGCAAGCGCCCTCGACTCATTACGCTTCAGAAGCACCTACCAATTATTCCCTCCACTAACCCAGCCCCAGTCGGCAGGGGGGGGGATTTTGGCCCTGTGCTGAGGCTGCAGCACTTCGTGGGGTCTATCCCTCATATGCATTCATCTTTCCCTTTGGAAACCTCCATTTTATGGAAGGTTTTCCCCCCTTGAGAGGCTCCTGGGCAGAGCTGCACACACCGCCAGGTCCCTCTGCTGTACCCACAGCTGGGGACAGCCAAGGATGAGGCTCTGGGGGAGAGGGAGAACAGGGAAGGGAAAAAAAGCCCTCTTTCCTTGAAATAGGAGGGCTGCCCAGCAAACGTGGGAAGGTGGAAATTTCAGCAGCAATTTTGGCAGCTGGCAGCACCCAGCCTTCAGCACCGGGACGGCACCAGCAGTACCCAGGGCTTGGAGATGGGGTGGTGGTGCTGGGACCTGCCCTTCCATCCCATCCCATCCCGTCCTGTCCCATCCCTCCTTCCCCTGGGGACATCAGCCAAGATTTGGGGCAGGCTTTCTCCCAGCGCCTGTCCGAGACAATTCCCATCCAGGCTGGGAAAGGAAAGTGCCCGTGGCCCATGCAGGACAGGACGCAGCCGCTCCTGGCTCCCGCTGCGGCTCCTTTGACTGAGGCCTTGTGCACTGCAGGGGGGGGACAGGCACCCCCGCCCCGCTAATGTAGCAATTAGACATGTTCAGATTAATCAGATAATTAAGCAGAAATGCGCTAATTGAATAAACAGGAGAGCTGAATGCCAATGACATGGGGAGAAAAGGAGGACAGGGACAGGAGGCAGTGCTGGGTGGCGTGGGGACGTGTCCCCGGCTCACAGGCGGCTGAGCCAAGGGGCTGGGGGGGGGGTCCCCAGGGCCGGGGGGTGCTGGAGATGAGCTCAGAGCAGCAGGGATGAAGTCAGGCACCGGTGAGGACGGGCCAGCCCCTGGAAGGCAGAGGTGCCCACTTCAGACCAGAAGCAGCCCGTCTATGCTGCTGCTTTTCCTTCCCTTTCTTCCCCGGCAGTGTTTCGGCACCGCTGTGCCCGTGCCGGCATCGTGCAACGCTTGGCAGGAGCGCAGCCTCTGCCATGAGAGCTTCAACTGCTGAGAACAACGGGAGAATTTGGGGCACGGACACTTCCCATTAAGACGCGCTAATGAAATGTGAAAATGTTTTGCTGTGCCGTAATTTTAAATATTTTTGAATGCAGCTGCGGCGCTGTTCGACGAGGGCTAATTTGGACGTCAATTAAACCAGGCTAAATTACGGCCGAGTACGCCATGGGAGCCAACACGGCAGGGGACGTGTCCAGGAGCCCCAAATCTTGCTGACCTTGCCCTCTCCTTACAAGCTGGACCAAGAGCCCCATCTCACCTCACCTCCGTGGTCGAGCCCTGCCAGCTGCCACCAGCACGGGGGACGTTGGGCAAGAAGTGACAAGGACAGGGACGGCCACCCTGGGGAGCAAAGCCACAAGCTCCTGGTGTTTGTCCTCAGCTGCTTGGGGTGCTCGGGTTTTTAAAAGCTCCCAGCAGTGCCTCTGTGTCCAACCACGCCGGGTCTGCTTGGGCTCAGCACCGGGTCCTGGTGGCGGTGACACGGCCCCGTCCTCGCTGGGCAGCCCCCGGGTTGCTCCCACAACGCGTTTATTGATGGGAGTGAAAGAACAAAGCCAAGGGGGCTACGTGGGGAGCAGGAGCACGGGGCGCAGGCTCTTCGCTCTCAGATTTTTTTTAATGGAATAAAAAGGAGATTATTGGCTACAATTAATTGTTCACACTCTAGAGAAGATGAAAGTGCGGGGAGTAAACAGATGCCGGTCACGATTGGGTGCTCATTAAGGCAGGAGCAGGATTCATTTCATACGCGTGATTAACTCCTGGCCACTGATGATTTACACGGCAGATGATCAAAAGAGAATTAATTATGCCCCAAACGGGGCTGTGCCAACCCGGCCGGGCCGGCGCTGCCGACGGCGGAGCCCGCAGCCCCCGACATCCCCTGTAAACAGCAACCGAGCAGAAAATCCAGACGTGTCCTTCCCTCAGGACGGCTTTTGAGCGGCTCGGTGGACATCACCCGCTCACACTGATGCTCCTCACCAAGGGGTTTAAGCCCAAGGGTGACCCGCTGCTCTTCTGGAGCTGGTTTTGGTGGCTGTGAGTGCAGGGGAGCTGCAGGCAGTGCCACAGAGCACGGCATGGGTGTCCTCTGCCCAGCTTCCTGCCCCTCGTTAGCAGTAATTAACCCAGGGAAGGCTTCTCTCCGCTCGACACCTTTCCTTTCCTTGGTGATTGATGGAGTCCCTCGCCATTACACATCCACGCGGTAATTAAAGGAAGGGGCTCCGCACCCTGAGCCTGATTTATTCTTTAATACAGCCCCCTTTTGATCTCGTCTCTCTCTTAATTTAATTACGAGCTGGGAATCAGCGTCCCTCCACCACCAGAGCCGCTCTGCTTTGCTTGGGTTCCTCCATCCCCAAAACCTGGCGGCTGGCACTTTCCAGGAGCTCCGTTAAGCACCCGCCCTGCTCCCACTTCATGAGAAGGGAAAAATCTCCCCTCGGTTCCAGCATTTAGTCAATAAGGGAGGGAGGGCTGGTTTGTTTGCAGCAGGTGGGATGCTCGCTTCCCTCCCAAACCCCAAATTACCACGGGGCTTCTCCACCCCTGGCAGAGCCCGGGCTGAGCATTGCACAGCATCACAGCAAGCACCGCGGTGCAGTAACTCCTTCCCAAGCAGCCTGGGCAACAGCAGGCGTTTTAAGGAAGAAGGAAAGAAAATAAAAGAAAAGGGCATTTTGTGTTTAAAACCCCTCCACAGCTTTTATTTGCGAGCTCCCCAGAGGGGGCCATGCCCCAGAGGTGCCCGCAGAGCCCAGCCACAGGCACGGGCACCTGCCTGGTCCCCCCCGAGCACAGCCAAGCCCCCGGCTCTGCTAACGAAGTGGTGCTGATTAGCGCCTGGTATTTTTAAAATCTTAATCTTAACTCCTGCAGGAGTCACCTTCAGCTCCGCCAGGCGGCCCCTCCCCGAGGAGGCGACGGGGAGATGAATTGATTGCCTGGAGCTGATTAGCAATTAGGCCTGGCACGCTCCAGCTGTAAATACTGTCACCGCGGCTGGGGACGAGGCAAGGCAGGGTGCAGGGGGGGCCCGGGGTGCTGCGGTATTAGGAGCAGGAGGGGGCAGACCCCAAAATAACACTTCCCAAAGATTTTGGCAGCCGCTGCCGCTCCGTCCCCTGAGATCGCCGCGTGCTCCTGCCCAGCCAGGCGGCTGCATGCGGGTGCCCGTGAGTTGTGTCTTTAATATGGTGCGGGAATATTTACCCCATAAATTCTTAAGAGCAGATTTACAGACCCTAACAGCATTACAGGCTGGTAGTGCAGCTATGAGATCCCCTCCCCATAGGGCTGCCAGCAGCGTGGAGCTGTCCAGGGGCTGGGGCTGGTGTCACCCCCCAGCCCTGACCTGCTCCATCCCAAGGGACACCGAGGTCCCCAGGGTGGCAGGATCCCACCCCGATGGGGCCCAGGCAGCACCTGAGGATCCAACCCAGCTCAGCTCCAGCAGGACCAGTAACAGGCGCCCACGCGATGCCGCTGTCACCTCTGTGCCTGTTGCCTTCAGAGTTGCTGGCTATTTACACAGCTCTGAACCATTACAGCTGCAAAGCAGCTCCGTGACACAAGCCCCCGGTCCCAGGCACTTGAAAAGAAATGAGAAAGAAATTGAATTGTACTCGAAGGCGACTTCTGGGGAGATAACACCAAGGCTCCCTGCTCAGGTGCGGTGGTAGCGAGAGAGATGAGCTTCACCTCCCTGCACGGTCCCGGCAGTGATGGACGATGCCACAACCGGAGCACCACGAACCCGGGCAGCTTAAAAACAGAACGTGCAGAGGGCCAGCAGGCTGCGTGCTTGGGGTTACCACTGCTGGGGACGGGCTGCTGAGATTTAACAGCTGGTCGCTGGTTAAAGAGGCTGGGGTTGCCTCTGAGCCCACGCTCTCCAGGTCCAAGCTGCTCCTGGCTGATGGTGCTCGCTTCAGGATGACCAGAATTTGGGGAAACGAGACGTTGGAGCTGTTGCTTGGCGCTGTGATGAGGGTGCAGTCGAACAAGATAGATTAGGTGAAAATACTTGCAAGGGAAGAAAAAGGGTGGCTTGGGCTCGCTCGGCCAGGCTGCTAACCCCGACTGGTACTGGGGTGGGCCCAGTACCCACCAGCAGCTGCTCATGTTGGGCTGCAAAAGCTCCAGAAAGGCCAGGGAGGGCTCAGCTGCCCGGGGAGGGCAACGTAATGCTCTTCACAGTCCCTCTTTTGGTGACTAGACCAGAAATCATCTGCTTGATCTTCAACCAGCAGCCCAAAGCCTTTACATCAGTCTCAAGATTAATTAGCAGCTGAATAATAATCCCGGATAAGTCTCATCAAGGCGTAAGAACCTTCCCTGCTGCCTTGGGCGTCAAGGGGGCGGAGCACAGCCTGGTGCCAGGACCCCCGGCCTGGCCCCATTTTGGGGGGTAGGCTGCTGCTTTCTCTTGGCACAAGCAGCCGGGTGCTGTCACCCATGGCAGGGGCTCCCCAGAGGCAGAGGACAGGCTAGGGGTGGTGCAGAGCTGCTGGGGGCTCAGGACTCTGTAGCAGAAGGCTAGAGGACGACAGCCCGGTAGCTCCGTCTGCGTGCGGGTGACATTCCTTTACCTCCAGCCCCCCTTTCCCTGGGCATCTCCTCTCCTCAAAAACAGCAGCAAGAAAAAATAAATAATCAGCCGCAGCGAGCCGGCTGCAGCAGAACATTTATTTCATCGAATGCACCATTTATTTTCAATTATCAGCGAACCTCCCCCCTCCTCTGCTCCCTCCCTCCCCGCGCGCTCGGCGGATCGCTGGGACAAAGTTTGCAGAGTTGCAAAACGGCGGCAGAGGAGAGGGCAACCCCGCCAGAGGTGAGGCGGAGAGGGGCACACATGCTGGGGTGGTGCAGGGAGAAGGACAGAAGGACAGAAGGGTCAGACAGAGCGGGGAGAGGCGCCCTGCCTCTTGGCTTACCTCGGCCCCGGGTGCTGAAGAGGTGCGGTGGCAGCGGAGCAGAGGCGACGATGGGGAGGCTGCAGGGAAGAGGCACAGACGAGGGCCAGAGAGGCACTGTAGGCATCTTATCCTTCTATAAGCTCTTCCAGGCTCACAGCCCCAGCCTTCTCTCCCTTGTCCTCTCCTCCTGGGGCCGGAGGCTGACCTCAAGCTGTCCTCACCTCCCCGGGGACGCAGCCACGGCGACCTCAGGTTCACAGGAGACGTCCAGACCTGGTGCAAGATGTGGTTTCTGAGCTGGTGAGCAAAAAAAACCATCCCACCCAAAGTCCCCACGTGGCCTGCGGGCCTCCAAGCATCAGAGCTCTGTCGTGACACCCCCTGCTGCCCCCGGCACACTTGTCCTGCTGGGTGCAGGCAGGGGTCGAGGTGCGGCACTCACTGGCTCTGCCTTACGCTCGCGCTCCAAAAGCTGCCTTATTCCCAGGTCGCTCTCAGTCAGAGCCATTTAAAGATCTCTGACATATCATGAAGGATCCTCTAATGGGGTTCAGCAGACTAAGATTTATATCAAAAAGCCCCAATTTATTGAATTAATGCTGCAGAGCGAAACCGTGGCTGCTTAACAACTGGAGTATCAGTATTTTACAGCAACATAACTAATAAGGCCATTAATACAAACTGGGCTCCCTCCTGACATTTATATCACTGTAAATCTCTCTCAGCACCAGAATTATTTATGCCATCCCAGGCACTCGAGGAGCGCTGTCGTCCTTTATCAGGCTGAAAGATTTAAGCCACGAGATGATGCTAACTGTAATAAAAAAGGAGCGTGAGAGGAGCGGGGACAGCGTTGGCAGGGCAGCAATGGGGCCGGGACCCTGACCCAAGGACAGCGGGTGCAGATGCGAGCCTAGCCCTTGCTTTTGGGGAGCAGCTCCCTGTTTCCAGCAGCGATGGGGCCAGAGGCACCTGCAGCCCCAGGCCTCGAGATCAAACCCATGGGACATAAATATTGACATATTTATGTATCTGGCTGCAGTTTCCCACGTGCACCAGGTTTGCCCTGAGCAAAGAAAACTTTGAAAGAGAAAGAAACGAAGCTGCACAGGGCGAGGAAGGTTTCAAAAGCCAAGAAGCAGCCCCAGCCCTGGCCAAGCAGCAAGGGAAACCATAAATAGGAAGGAGGACGGGGTGGGGGCGGTGGGAGAGGAGAGGAGCCTGACAGACCTCGGTGAGTACTAATTATTTCTGGCATTATCTGCACAGACAGATAAGGTTTTCATTAATAAATGTGAAGAGGAACGAGGAGGGGGAGGTGAAGAGGAGTGTGGGGAGGGGACAGAGAAGCACTAACAGCTGAGTGCCGGGCGAGATCTGCAAATTAGCCACAACCAGCAACAAAATGCAGTCGGGTACAGGGAGCAATTAGGGGCCCGGCCGGCTGCAGTGGCAGCACGGGGGGACACGGGGGACAGTAATTAGCTGCCAAGCCTGTCCCCACTCACCTCTGCTTCGCAGGCTGCCTCGTAATTCCCGACACGTTGGAAATGGAATCGTCAGTAAGCTCTCATATGCGGGGCCTTATTAAACCTGCTATCTGTGCTTATTTAATTGGAAGGAGATAAAGCCAGGCCAGCCCGGGGAGCAGGGCTGGGCCGATGCAGCATCTCGCTGCAGCCCTGCTTTTCAACCCAAATGTGCAGGCACACGTGCGTGAGCAGGGCGACAGGGGTTGCAGGGATGCTGGAGCCATGAATTCGGACTTTTATCTCCAGGCAGGCCGTGACAGCACGGAGAGGCAGGGGAAAAGGAAAGCCCGGCTCCGCCACGCTCCCTCGGTTTGCAGGCAGCACGTACCTGGGCTGGATGGGGCTGGAGCTCCATGGGGTGGTTTCGTGCAGTGGGGTTTGCAGCTGAGGTCAAGGAGCTGTGGCAATTAGCAGAAGCTGCCCGCTCCTCTCTTGGCCTCGGTTCCCACGGCAACGGGGCGTTTTGGCACGTTTCTCCACGCACAACCTCACGGCAAAGGTCAGCACGGGAGAGGAAGATGCTTGGTCCAGCTGAAAGAGAATATTGGGGCAAGTCATTAAAACCCAGACCAACAAGAACGCCTCTCCCCCAAAAAATCATCTCAGCCATCCCCAAACCAACCTCTCTGGGGTGCCTGTGTCAGGGTCACGGCTCAGCAGCCACCCTCAGCTCATGAGTGACGTTTCCATCAGCCCCTCTGCTCTCCCTGGGGAGCTGCTGCTCCCTTCCATTGCTGTTGAGAGGAGACAGCGTCCTCCCTGCTGGGCAGCCCTCTTGCCACAGCCCCTCCTTTCCAAGAAGCCAGGGCTCCAGGGGCTCTGGAAAACTTTATTCACAGAGCAGGGGAGAGAGAATTGCTTTTCTCGGTTTTATCAAAGGCAAGACTTCATAGGGCTCTCCTTAAACCACGGCATTACAAAGGAAGCGAGAGCCTGCATAGGTGAAAGGACAATTTTTCTGGAGGCAGGGCAAGCTGCCGTCACTGCAAGCACTTAATTAGGAGTCAAAGTGCTAGACCAAGGAGTTTTGCCTGCAGAGATTTACCAGACACAACCACAAGCTGCTTACTTCAAACAGCTGAGCAGGAATTGTTTCTTTCTGCTGGAAGCTAGGAGCAAGCCTGTGCCCACATCCAGCTGCTGAAAGGCAGCAGAGCCGCTGCATCTCCTCGTGCCACTCCGAGCAGAGACGATTCAGGCTCAGGGATGGGGGCAGTTTCTGCCCTGGGAAGGAAAGATGCTCTCAAGCAGCAGATTTAGATCCCCTCCTCACAACAGACAGCGCTCCCTGCCCTCCAAAGCAGGGCTCCAAAGCCCACTGAGCAGCACGTGGGTGAGCAGACCCCGTGAAGCAGCGCAGGAGAAAGTCGAGGAGAACAGGACAAACACGAGCCCCGTTTCAGCAGGCAGAACTTGCCCTACAGCCTACCCAAAGCAGGCTTTGGCCACAGCAGTGGTGCTGGTGGACACGGGGCTGATCCCCAGCCAGGGACCAATGGTCCTCTCCTAACCAGCCAGGCCCGCAGGAGGCTTCCAGATGTCCACCAGCTCTGGAGAGCCAGAAGAACAGCGAGGATTTCAGCCAGAGACCTCCGTTTAACAGGAGAGAAGGCTGAGACCAAGTTTCACCTCTTTGAGATTTAAGATGAAAACTCCCCGTGTTACCAGCAGCTTTTCTGAGGCAAGTTAGCAAAGTCTGTCTGCAGGCAGAAATCTCCTAAAAGGAGCAATTACGACCAGGACCAGCAGAGAGCCTTTGATCAGTTAAAAGAGACATTTTTCCTGAGACAACAGTTCAGGAAGGAGAAGCAGGAGCTGCCTCACAGAAGGCACCCCGACCAGCACAGTTCCCCTCCCTGGTGCTCTGCACTACAAAGCCCAGGGCCACGGGAGAGGCAGAGGCACGGAGGAGGCGAAGCACACGCTGTGCTGGGGTGAGCGCCGTGCACAGGACCCGTTTGGGAGGAACACAGCACCCACAGCACCCACCTGGCCAGAGGTGGGCACACGGAGCTGCCATCTGACGCACGGCTAGATGGGAGGGCTGAAAATCCTCTTTGCTTCCTGACGCCGTGAGAGTTTGGTTGGGAATCTCCCCTCGCTGGCACTGGGACAGCAGCGGGTGTCACGGGGTGAGCTGGGTGCCAAGAAGGGGCATCGGTAGTTCGGGATCCAAGGAAACGGCCCGAGATCCTGCCAAGAGAAGGACACATTGATTGCTTTCGTACAGCTGCAAACATTAAGCTTGCAAGCCAAGCCTGCGTTCAAGAAATCTCTAACGTTTAAGGAGCTAAAAACCCAGCGTATGACTGATGGAAAGCTGAGAGCTTCTCTTCATCAAGCTGCCTGAGGTGGCAGGTATTCCCCAGTGCCCCCAAAGCATTTGGGATGCAGCTCAGCCCGTGTCCTAGGTGGGAAGGGCTGCAACGATTCATCTCATGCCTCTCCTCTGCCCCGTTCCTCCTCCTTTGTCCTTACCGTGCTGGCAGCAGTCAGGGTCAGCTCTGCAATCCCCATTTAGTGCTGCGGGGAGTTACTGGTGTCTCCTTTTGTGAGTCTTTCCTCCTGGTCACTGAAGCAGAGGGAAGGTTTCTTCGTTTCCTTCCAGGTGCACTGCTTCTGCAGCACTTCTTACCGACAGCAAGCCCTGTGCCCCAAGCCCAGTGAGACCTAAATGCTGCAGTCAGACAGCACCATCCCCAGCGTGGAGCAGAAGGGACAGCTCCAGCCACCCACCCAAGCCCAGCAGAGCAGCCCTCGAGTCAAGTTCAGCCCCAAGTTAAGGCTAAAAACCCTTCCAATTCCACCTCATTGGGAAAAAGGGCTGGGAGGCCAAGCTCCACACCAGCTCCTCTGACCTCAGACCAGGGCAAGCGAACTCCAGGCTAATTAATGAAGAATTGCAGCGCTCGAAGGCTTTGGCACCATCATCTGTTGCTGCAGTTCAAGTCCATTAAGCACGGCCTCGCTCTGCAGCACGGCCTCCGCTTTGCTGCACAGAGCTCTCCAGCACACCTGGCAGCTCGGGGACACGCGGCCACCCGGGGTTGTGGTGGCCCTGGAGGGGCCAAGAGGAGACTCTGCAGGGAACGGGGTGGGAGGATCCCATCCCTCTCCTTTTAGGATCTTTCTCCTACTTCTCGCTCAGCTTTTCAGTGACACAGGACCTCCTTTCTCCAGGTACTGGTGGTAACAGCAGTGACGCGCCCTGCTTGGCTCTAATCAGCTGCAAAATCACCGAATGTTCTTCAGCTGTGCTTTTATTTTTTTTTATTTTTAAATATCAAAACTGGAACTGAGCTGGAAGAAAGCAAGCAAAATCCACCACGGATAATTATTTGATCTTAATTGTCAAAAAAAAAATAGACGGATTGATGAAAGGAGTTGGTAAGCAGAACGATAACATGAGTGTCCTCGAAGGCAAGCGCAGTAACAGGATCCAAAAGCAAGACTTTTGGTAATCCTTGGGCTGTTAATTATCTAAACACCAGTCCCTTGGAGCTGCCTGAGCGAGGATTAATTAGGTTGTGAAATAATAGCTAAATTGATACTGGGAAGGAGTTTGGGTTCCAAAATAATGGCTGAAGATTAGCCAGCCGGTTTCCCCATTTCTCTTTGCGATGCTCAGAAGGACATTTGTCTCTGCTGCTTTTTCAGAAAGGGGCCATTAATCAAACCAGCAGACGGCCCTTCCCAGATCTGTGATGTTGCACAAAGACAAAAGGAAGGAGGAGGAGGAAACAAATCACCTACAAGTGTTAAGAAAAAGAAATCCCAAAACCCAGTGATTAGCAGCTACGGAGACCGTCTCCCCACAGGGGCTGGATCCATTCAACCAGAGCAACTCTCCTGGAGATGAAGAATATCTCCTGTGAAAGGCAGGTACCTACAGGAAAGGGATTTGACTGTCTCTAAAACAAATTACTTGCACTAATCCCAGACACCAGGATTTGTGTCTCCTGATTCAGCCAAGTTTGATGTCCACCTGCCAAAGCTTTCCCCATGAGCGGGCCGCATGGCCATAAGGCTTTGTGGGATCGACCCCTCTCACCTGGCTGCACATCTCACAGGAGGTGGAGGAACATCTCCCATCAGCGTCTTTGACGCTGCCACACGTGGCTGAAGCCTCCTGGCCAGCTCAGGAGGTGCCAGAAGCACAGTGCACGGAGGCACCCACGCATCCTACTGCGTCTCCTCCAAACAGCCCCACGATGCTCCCCACCTCCCCGGGGGATGGCACTTGCAGCCCAAGAGGAGGCACGGAGCCTTTTCTCCTGGCCCCTTCCCCTCTCTCCCAAGCTCCCTGCCACCACACATTTATGGAGCACTCTGGGCAATCAGCCTGGCGTTGCAGCAAAGCGAAAGAGCAGCCGGCTGAAGGCTGCGGCATTAATCACACCAGCCTCTCACTCACGGAGCCTGTTGTCTTGCAAGAGCGTCTGCTCCATAAAATATGCACAGCTGACACGCATGAAACCCCTCGCAGCATTTATTGATGTACATTACCTTGGCTTTTACAGCATAATAAATAACAGGGGAGAGGCAGACACCCGTCCCCTGATCAGTCTGCGCTGTGCTGCCCACCCTCGGTGGCGTCTCAGACCGAGGTGTGCAGAGAACATCTCCCCCGCCAGCAACACGTGTCCGAGCCCCAGGAAGGTCGTGCTCCCAGGCAGGGAGGCCAAGATCGTGTTTCCTTTCCTGTGCAGGGGCCTTTAATAAACAGGCACCACCAGCCAGGGAGAAAAGCGTCCTTGCAAGCTGCTTGTTACCTCTGGCACCAAACAGCTACGGGCAGACAAGGGGCAGCGCTGGCTCCGAGCAGGGAGTTCTCAGTTCTTGGGCAGTGAGGAGGGGAATCGCGTTGGTCTGGTAGGAAAATCCCCTCCAGCATCTGCCAGAGCCACAGTGCAAAGCGCAGACCTTCCCCACGAACATCCAGCAGCCCCACTGCGGGCGCACAGCCCCGCTCTGCCCCCAGAGCAGACTGCTGGCAGGCAGCTCTGCTCTGGGTTTACACCGCTTCTCAGACCTCAGTGGCTCCATGCGCTGCAGAAGAGGCTTAAGCAGAGCTCGGAGGAGAGATCCCATCGGATAAGAGCGAGCAGACAACAGTCCCGTACCAAAGGGAAGGCACTGCACCTCCGGGAGGCTTGGTTTATCATCACAGGTCTCAGACAGCACAGAGTACCTACCGCAGTGTCAGGCAGCGAGCAGCAAACATCTCATTAGTTACAGCAGGGCTCCTGCTGCTCTGCCAGCCTGGGCTGAACCAGCTCGGAAAGGGGAACAAAATTCCCCTCCTGGAAGCAGATCAAAAGCAGAGCAGGGCGAGGGGAGGAGGAACTCACCTTGTGGCTGCCGGTCCAGCAGCATCCTCAGCTCCTGGAGCACGTAGGCTTCGGGCTGCCTAACCTTGTGGTCTCACTCCGCTGCAATGCCTTCGATAGATTAATCACTCACGCCGTGGGCAAGAAAAGTCAAGTGGATATCGTCTCCTCGGCCATTACTCTGATTTTTCATCCTCTGCTTGCTGTGAACAAAACAGAAATGACAGTCAGAGTGGCAGCTCACCAGCCCTATGCAGGCTGCAGCACACGGTGTCCCCACACCATCATCCAAACCAGGGCACAGAGCGCCCGCTGCTCGCTTCGCCCTTCACTGTCCAGCAAGCCACTGATTTATCTCCAGGGGCCAGTTATTTATCTCCACCCTCAGCTGGGGAAGAGAAGACACTTCTATTGGCAAGTCTGGGGGGCCTCCACCAGAAACAGAAGTGAGGGGAGCACCAAGGCCCAAGGGAAGAGCTATTTTTTGGGGACCGTTACAGAGCTTTGGGCTCACAGCACCCACACTGCCCCCTCCCTGCAAGGTATCACAGCCCCCAAGAAGGGACTCGGTGTGCTGAAGCAATGGGAGCGGCTCCAGCTCCTGTGCAAGAAGCTGGGGGCAGCTCCACATGGATCACACTATTTTCAGCAGGGCTCTTCTCTTTGGCCCTCTGAATTCCCCCTGCCCAACCCTTTGCTGTCTGCAGGCACCAACACCAGCCCGCCTGGGCTTTGCAGCCCAGCTAGCACCACACAGGGCTCTCTTTTCCAGATTCCCTTTTAGCTGTTTGCTAGCCCCAGGGGGAGGAGGTAGTTTTTTCATCCCTTTTTACAAGGTGATTAAATGCTGCATTTGTAAAACACTTCATTCTGGGAAACAAATTATGTAAAACGCACTCAGTGGGACCTAACACGAACTGATACCATCAGCTAGCAACAGGGGCTCCGCTTCCAGGCTTTGCTTTCCAGAGGCAGCCGTGGATAAGCTGCTGACCTGCTGCAGCCCAGGACAGGGTCCCACCAGGCACAGAGCTCTGACCTGGCCCTGTCACAGTCTCCTGGTGACCTCGAAGCCTGCAGGTCCCATGGAAAGAGCCAGCTGGCTGCAGGCACCTACCTCCCAGGTCACGTCCGTGCTGGGTGAGCTCTGGTCAGCTCGCATGCCGAGCAGGACAGTGCACAGATGGGCCAGCCTGGGCAAGGCTTGGGCATGGTGCAGGGCGGCTATGGAAAGTCTGGATCTCCTGCTGCTGCTTATTTTAGCACTCACAAGGGGTTTTCAGAGCTCTCCTGCTGCTGCTAGCTCTGCTGTGGCACTCCAGGCATGGAGAGCTGGAAGAAGAGCAGCTGGATGGGGTTTCACTCCTCTCCAAGCAGCTCCAGGGGATGCAATACCTGCCCCCAGCCCAGCAACTACAGCAAGAGACAAAGCCAACTGGACCCAGCTTTCCTCATCTCAGATTGGAAACGACGCCGCTTCCCTGAGGACAGGCCACTTGTCAGGGCAGGTGGCTGCAGCAGAGGAGAAAGGAGCTCTTCTTCTGGACAGGCTCAAAGATGCTCCAGGGGAAAGCACCGCGGGCAGGTAACGTGCTGGATTAGAAGAGAAACCAGCCTTAGAGCCTGCCTCGGGTGTATTGCTGATGAAAAAGGAAGAAGAGCGAAATCAAGATTTCCTGCCCCCAATTTGCTGACTCAGTAATGACTCAAGTGACTAAATTTAGCTAGTGAAGAGCTCAGCAGCAGGGTGAGCGCCTGCTGGCCTTTCCTTAACCTTATTATGAGACCTTTCAAGTAACCCCTTCCCCGGCTCAGAAGGGATTCTGCTCACGCTCCAAGGGGATTATGAACCACCTCTGAAAGCTGGGAGAGAGACGTGTGTACGTCCACAGGTACACACACGGCTTCCTGGTGGCGATGCAAGACCTGGGAGCGGAGAGACAGCACTGGAGTGCCTCTCGCTTGTGGAGTCGTCATGGCAACAGGAAATTTTTAAAAGCAATTAGGTGTGGGTTCATCTGCATGGCTCGGAGGATCGCAGAGAGCCCTGCCTCTCCTCCCTGCAGCTGCTGTGCGCAGGCAGTGGGGTCTGGGGGCTCGGGGCTCTGCCGGTTCAGGCAGATGGGGTGGTTCTGGCTGAACGTCCGTGGGCAGAGCCACGAGGGCTTTGGGAGCCAGCCCTGTGCTGGTGTGAGCTCAGGCTGGCTGATGGAGGGGGAGATGCCCCGCAGGAAAACAGCCCAGACCCAGGTCTACGTCTGCAGCTGGGGCACAACGAGGCAGAGCTGAAGACTTCCTGACCGGAGGGAAGTATAAATTTCTGACAGCAGCGATACCATCAACACAGCCTGACCTGGCTGCAAGATAAGCTGCCCCCGTGTTTTAATAAGGCCCGTTCCTGCAAGGTCAATCATTACCTAACCTCCCACAAAACCTTCATTGACCATTCTCCAAGAAGACGGGAGAGCAGCTCAGTGCCTGCACTGCCCGGCAGCTCCGGGTTCAGCATGTGGGACCCACAGAGCTCCTCTCCTCCACAGCCCCAGGGCAGGAGCCGAGGGAACCTGCTGTTGTGGTTTAACCCATTTTTAGGAGGAAAATTAACTCTATTCCAGCTGAAAGCAGGCCATCTGCCTGCCCCAAGCCGCCCACGCCTCCCGAAGGCTTCTGACTCGACCCTCGGCTGCTGCAGGATTGGGAACAGATCGGTGCACGTTCACCTCCACGTGGGCACGGCGTCAGCCCTTCTCCAGATAACACCACACACTCCGCTTCTCCCATTCCAATCGCACTGCAAGGGCTTTTTTCTCTTTTCTTTTCTGAAACTCAGTCCCTCCTCCTCACTGCTAGAAATCCCTCTGAAGTTTCTCTTCACATCTTTTCGCTCCCCTTCGCGATTTCGACATTTCCCAGGCTCTGTAGTGGATGAGCTGCTGTTCCAGCTCCCCACCCCACCTCCATTTTCCGCTTATTTTTCTACATTGTCTGCTCCCAGTGGCCACTCTGGCCACCAGCAGCTTTTTGGCCATTTGATGAAACAATCCTCACTCCAGCATCTGTGTGCGAGTGTTGGTTCATGGCTGCTCCAGCCCCTGCCCGAGCCCAGCGCCAGCACTCGTGCATCTTTGCACCAAAGAGCTTCCCGGAGGCCCTGAAAGCTGCAGAAGCACGGACAGCCTGATGTTCGTGCCCTGTTTTAACATCTATCTCCCCCTTTTTATTTATGAACTAGAAATGGAGCTTTAGCTTCTACCAGAGCAAAGCCAGAGAGCAAAGAGGTGCCGCAGGGAACCCGCGCGTGGGGCTCTCATCACGCCAGCAGCATGAGTCAGCCACACCACAGCCTCCCCCTGCAGCAAGGAGCTGCAAGGATGAGCACCAGCGTGAGGAGAGGGGAGAGGAAAAGGGAAGCTTGTGCAGAAACAGCACACGGCATCCGCTCCACGCGGGCGGCTGGGTGGGAAGCCAGCTTCCCTCTCTGTTCTTTCTGCCTTACAACTTGCCTGCAGGGCTGGAGAAGGCTGAGTTGCTGCTGCTTTCTCCCAGGCTGGTTCGCTTTCAGGGTGAGAGGGGTGGGTAACGTACATCTGCAGAGGGGAGATAAGGTAATCAGGTACCTCGACTGCCTGGGATCTTATTAAAGAAGGGCTGGCTGGCGAGATCCTATCTCTGCACAGAAATATCTGCAACTTTATCCTCAACTGTAACACGAACCAAAACAAATTGGATGACCAGCACGGCCACTGTGGGCTCTCCTGCATGGCACGGTGGGCAGGGAGCAGAGGGGAGGCCACCCCAGCACAGCCTGGGCCCTGGCAGAGCAGCTGAGGACAGCAACACGGCAGGATGCTGCTGCAGCAGGAGGAAGCGAGGGTGTAAATGCAGGAGTGAAGGAGACCTTGTGAAGGACAAGGGAAGGGCCCAGATTCAGGCTCGTATGCCCAAGGGCACCACAAAGGGTGTGCAGCCCAAGGGAGCACTTGAGAAAGCAGCTGGCTTTAATGTGTCTCACGGGAACGCCTCTCTCTTAGGGACCCCAAATTACAGCGTGTCCCCAGGGCTGCCCAGCGAGCCCACGCGCTGACAGAGAAACATGCAGCAGCAATCTGATGGCTAACAGAAGCAGCAGGGCCCATTCCTGCTGCTTGGGACACCAGGAATGCTGCGAGGAGCCAGAGCAGGGCTCAAAGCTACAGAGCTGGGTTTCAAACCCTCTGGTCCCACGTTCATTCAGGAGCACGGGGACAGGGGCAGCTCTTGGAAAGCCACCACCTCCCCACTTCTCCCCAGCTGCAGCCCCAGCTCCTCCCAAGCAGGTTTGAGCCCAGCAGGCAGCGCTGGAGCAGCCCACCCAACCATTTTTCCACCCTAGGCTGACCCCTGGGGACAGCACAGTCGGTTTTTGCCAGGTTCATCACTCACCTCCCACCTCCCTGCTGCAGCAGAGGGAACCAGGCACCACACAGGGGCTGGCCACCAGCCTGCTCTGCAGGAGCAGATGAAAGGCTCCTTTGTTCCTCCACCTGGAGCACACAGCCAGCCTGGTTCTCGTGCATCTGTGGGAGCCAAGGCCACTGGGAGCAGGCTGTCTTGCTGCAGCTGGGCTGCAGTTGATAGGGGGACCTCTGACCGCTCTTTACAGCATTTGCAGGGGACTGCGTGCAGCTTCCCTCCTTGCTCTCCAGCAGAGCTCTCCACCCATGCTGGCAACCTGGGAAGTGAACACAAAGACAGATGTTCATGGGAGGGGTGAACCTACCTGTGCTGATGGTTTGGGCTTTAAAAAAAACACTGAATGTCCTCCAAGGAGGAGGGACCTGGTGCCGTGCCCGCTAAACCAGGCACAGTAGCAGCATGGAGCCAGCTCGTGCCCCCACCGAAGCCAGGGCCAACATGCACACAACCAAAGCTCAGATCTCCATCTCCTTTCGTTGTGCCCAGGAAGTGTCCTAGCTGCTCCTGCCACCAACACCTTGTCACAGTAATGCAAACTATGTCAAAGCAGGAGGTGCAAGAAAGCTTCTGTCAGCTCCTCTCCATCCCCTGAACACCCCAGTCAGCTGCACACAGTGCTGGAGGGATTGCAGCCTGCCAAGAGGGGCACAAAACCATCCACTGGGACATGCAGAGATCTAGGAAAATGTTGTGCATCAAAGCAGGCAGCAAAGTACACCATCAGCTGGCGTTCAGCAGGGGCTGATGTCTCTGCTCCCCCACGGAGGGTAATGGCCCAGACACTGCCAGGGCGACTCCCAGATACCAAAGACAAGTTGACCAAAATACCTGGGGAAGAAGTCCCGCAGCCTGAGATGATAATTTGTGCTTTTCGAGGAGGGATTAGCCAGGGCAAGAGCCTCACTTCAAGCAGCCCTGCTGTTCTGGGCTCCACGCGTCCTCGCTCAGAGTTAGTTCAGGCATTTCTGCATCCTACAGCAGCAGAGACAAGGAAGGCCCTTCGGGTGAAACAGAGACTGGAAAATCTTCAGAGACGATGCAGAGAGGACGTTTCTGCCTATTACCTGCAACTGGAGATATGCTACCTGACTTATCCAGGGCAAATACAGCTTGTCAGGAGCAATACACTCACTGGACTGCTGGATGGCTCGGTCCGTGCCGACAGTGGCGGTGTAGGAGAGGTAATCAAAATGCTGCTGTGGAACCAACGCGTAGCAGCTCCACACGAGCCCTCTGAAGCCGATGGGAAAAGGAAGGAGGCAAGAAGTGCTGACAAGCCAGCTCCGTCTGTAGCAAGCAAGAACAAGGACTGACATGCAGCTTAACCAACGTATTAGTTAACACCATGAAGGAACAAAAGAAGTTACAGGGGTGAAGGAAGAAAGCTGCTTCCCCTATAAACACCCAGATTGTGATGCTCTTGGACTTAATATCACCAGATATGTGACGGGGGGCTCACCCTCTGCACTCAGACCATTTTGCCAAAAGGAGTGAGAGCAGTATTTAGATCACGATGTCTAAATGTCATGAGAAGAGGCATAGCAAAGGGCCAGGGCTACTTCCTGGTGGGCCAGGTCAGGCTCTCCCCGTAACGCTGGGCAGGCCAGCAAGCTGCAGGCACTTAGCTCTGAGCAGTTCTGGGATTCCCTGGACAGATCCCAAGGCAAGCACCAGTGACCCAGCTAATTACTTGTAGGGAATTACTCTGCAAATGCTGGCTCATAATAAATGATTGTGCTCCGTAAAACCCTTTCTGAACCAGCTGTATCACACAGGTGTCCTCAGGAGTAAAAGTGCTCAGCAAAAGCAGCATGAACTTGGCACGAGAGGTGAAAGCAAGACCCAAGCTGGCAACGCTGGCTTTAAGACGACGAGGAAACATCCAAACAGGAGCTGCACAGGACCACCACCCCATGGCAAGTCCCGAGCTCTGAAATGGCTTTGTCAGGAGATTTGGTATCGTGTGGGTTGGTTTCCCTCTGGTCAATGGGAAAGCAACATGCAGGAAATTCCTATTTCAGTGACTTTGGAGAAGGAGGATCTCACATCCCATGTCCCTCTGCCTTCCTGGTGTTCTCTCCTCTTGGGTTAGCACATATCACAGACCCCAACCTCTGCGGGCAGATGGCTCTCTGCCTTCGTAGCAGCAGGCTAATAGGAAAGCAGTAGGGGCCAGATGCTCCTGCCCTCCCACGTTGAGCACGAGCAGCAGCAGCATTTGCTCACGTCGGCACCGAGAGCCACCGAAGGCAGCAGGAAGCAACGGTGCCAGCACTGACGTTGAGCCAGCGATGCTCAGAGCCCTCTGAGAGCTCTCGGAGAGGATGTTATCCACTGACCTGCTGCACCAGACAGCCTCTGCCACTCCGGGGCTGCTTGCGGAAAGCTGGAGGCCTCCCAAGCACCAGCTACACCTCGCGCCTGGCTGCTGCGGCTTCCTGACGTGGTCAGACTGCGGAAAGCACCCAGGCAGGGCAGCCTGGGGCTCAGCCCGGGGGGCAGCAGGAGCTGTCCTCTTGGATTTCACCACCCCCACAGCTCGCTCCACTCCAGCAGCAGGCACAGGGAAAGGAGCTCCACGTTTATTCCTGCACAGCGACAGCTCTGAACTCACTGAAAGCCGCTGTCGGATGCTGTTTAAGGCCCACAGCTGCCCCCGTGCCCCAGTTCGTGCCCCGGGAGCAGAGCAGGGACATTCGGCCACTGAGGGATTACAGCAGGCAGGGGGTGGCAGGAGAACCCTGCTCGGTAATGCATTTTGCATTGTGCTGCATTAACCCAGACTAAATTACCTTTTATGCTGCTATGCCTTGGCTAATAGAATAACACAAACCAGCAAGCAGCAAAAGATAACTTCGTCCTTCTGATCGCTGTCAAGGGAAAACAGACCCTTTATTCTCAGCCCATGCTTGCCAGTGCGAGGGCAGGTTTCTAGATCCTCCAGGTGCCCCTGGAAGGAAGCTAAGAGTTAAAGCTGGCAGCGCCTCGCTCCCTGTGTCACGAGCACCACGACAGCCGTCTCACTAGGTGGAAAGGAACAGCAAGCGCTCCTAATTGAGCTTCGAGCTGGTTAAGGAAACACAAGTCTATTTAAAGGAGTCAGAGCCTTTTTAATCTTCCCTCTCTGAAAGGGAAAAAAGCCTGCATAAATATATCTAACCAGAATTAGAGCTCTTAACCCCTAGAGAAAGCCCTGTTTGTCTCCTTCAGCCCATTGTCCAGCATGACAAGGGCTGCTTCTCTGCAAAAGGCAACGTTAGCTAATTGCTATTTGAAGTCTTCCCTCCTACAGAGCGGAGCAGCAGCAGCCCAGCAGCCCCTGCTCCCCTCCCATGACAGCTCTCTGCAGCACACACTTCCCACTCGGGCAGCAAGTGATCAGCACTCACGGGGCCGGATCCTGCTCTCTGAGGCAAGCCACAACTGAGACCCGAGAATTTGGAGGCAGGGGGGCAGCCGGCCTTTCCCCCTTCGCTCCCTGCTTGGGGCACAAGGGCCATGATATGGGATGGACCTACAAACACTACAGGACCTGCCTGCAGGGCTAGGCTTGTGCCAGTGTCCCCCATGGCACCGCTATCAGAGGGGCAGGGAGGGAGCCCCATCTCGTGGGAAATGCTGCAGCAGCATTACTCTGCAGAAACAGCTCGAGAGTGGGTGCAAAGGGAAAGCTACTGGAGACAGAAAGGGGGACCAACACATCTCCCGTGGAGCTGGAAGGGGTAGGGTGGAAAATATCCTCCAGCAGAAAGGCCTGCAGCCATCATCACAGATGAGTCAAGGCAGCAAGGCAAGAGAAATATAAATAGGAGCACATCTGACTTAAAGCTGGGCAGTGTTAGGGATGCTTTTGCCTAAGCTGGTGAGAAAAGCAGTTTGTCAGAAGACAGACCAGGCATTTGAGTGATGCTTACTTGCAAGATTGTTTGTTTGTTTTTAAAGTGACTACTACACACACACAAAAAAAAAAAAAAAAAAGCCTCATCATGAGCCACGATGATTTTCCCTTAAGAAATCTTTGATATTCACTGTTTCCACCGAGCTCTGCAGAGAAGAGAGCCCTTCTCTGGAAGAGCAGGGCACAGCCAGGGCTGGGGGAGCCACTTTCTAGGAAGATATAAGGGCTGGGGAGGAACGTGGCACGGCACTGCCCTCTTTGGGCAAAACCACCCACTGATTGCAGGCTCGCCACTGTCTTTGGTTCAGATGTTGTGCAGAACTAATTTTCTTTGCATCCTGGTGAACACGAGTGACTTTGTTCCCTCCCTACAATAAGTGTGGGGTAGGAGGTGTACATAGAGAGCTACTGCCTGGCAAATAACAGGCAGCTGTTTGCTCAGGCAGCCTCGCCTGTACTAACAGATGGTCAGGAGATGCTGTCCTCCTCCAAAACTCACCCACCCTGCTCTCTATCCAAGCCACGGGCTCGCCGAGCCTTGCCACCACTACTGGGGGGTTCTGCTCCTCAGTGGGAGAGCGCCAGCACCTGATTCGTGCTCCTGGTCTGCATCTCCAGCCCTGGCTGGGAAATGAGACCCAAGCAGAGCAGGGTGGGTGACTGCACGGGTCCCTTTGCCCAGCCCAGTGCTGAAATCCCTGCTGAGGACCGGGGCTGATGGCAGGCAGCTCAGGACAAAAAGCTCAGCAAATCCCAGCGCTGCAAAGGGCAGCTAACTGCCTTATTGGTGATGCAAGAATTGGGAAGAGTCCCCTTCCATTTCATACCTCTTCACAGCTCCCCTGGGAAGCAGTTCTGTCTTCCCAGGTGGGACGGCCAGCATTAAGGACAGGCGCTGGCCTCCTCTCTGCAAGGTTATTTGCTAAAGGAGCCACTAGAGCCAGAGGTTTGAGCTCTGCTGCCTGTTTGTATACATGATAAATTGTGGAGCCTTTTTTTTTTTTCCCTTTATAGGAAAAAGGCTTCGTAACCTGACTGCAAAAACATACGGTAGAAAGAACATCCTGGAGCACGGTGGAAACAAAGAGCAGAGGATGGAAGAGAACAGCAGGTGAGTTGGTTGCTGCAGATCTTACCTTCACGTGACCACGCAGAAGAGGATGTGTTAATGGTGGTAGGCAACTGTAAGTGTGGCATGTCCTTATCTGGAAGCATGGAATTTCTCCAGATACCTGTGAAGAAAGAGAAAGCAGATGAATTCATTGAAAGAATTCCCTCAGGACCTGAAGAAAATAGCTGGGTGGAAGAAATCCGTCCGCCTCCCCCACACAAGCGTGCAACGCAGCAGGGTGCAGCTCAGGAGGCAGGCACGCTGCCAGGGCACTACTGTGCACAAAGAAAACCCTTCAGCCTTTGCTGCGGTGCTCGGGGATCCCACCAGGAGACACTTCCCTGCTGGAGGCAGAGGATGCAGCCCTGCAGCCCCCTCGGGTGAGGCAGCTCCTGCAGCATCCACCAGCTGGCTCCAGGAGCTAGCGGCCAGCTCTGATGCACCATTCCCAAACCACAGCAGGGACTGGGAGCTGCTGGTTTGTTAAAATCAGCCATTTGGCAGCGCCTGCTCTGAGTAAAGGGAAGAAGCTAGCAGATGTCTCCAAACTGGGAGCCTGTGGGTGCAATTCAAAACCTCTTTTCCAGCTCTCTGTGTACCCGTGGATACAAACGCATGCATCCGTACCCATACAGGACCCAGAACGATGTTCCTGCAGTTTCAGTCAAACTTCTGTGCAGGTAATAATAGCTCAAACGAGCTCTGTGCTAGCCCCTCTCAGCAGCAGGTCTTGCCAGACTTTACAAAGAGGGGGGAGCCACGTGGCTTCTTGCTGCATTTGGATGGAGCCTATTTTTGGGCTCTTTGCTGGCACGCAACGCTGCTGTAAGCGATCACCTCCGAGGTTAATTAGATGAGATGCTTCGGCAAGGTCTCTGGAGGTGCAGGATTTCCTTTCCTCCACATTAAGCCCTTTTATTAACACTTCAATAGATCTTGACATCGCGGTGCCCCTGCTACGTTACCTATCACACCGCTGGCAATAATGGCAGGGCTTCTGCTGGGGATTAGGGGTGAGCTACAGAGAACGGCAAACATCAGAGAAAGCAATAAGAGCAGAACACGTTTAGAAATTGTCGGCTATTGCAGCAGCCCCAGAAGTCACAGCTGTGCTTGTCCCCACTGCAATCAACCCAGCACTGTGAGAACAGCATGAAATATTAGAGGCACCACAGGTGCCCAGCGATGTCCCTGGCTCGGAGCCCTGCAAGTGTCACGGGGACTGGAGATGTCTGGAAGCTCCGAGAGCCCTGCAAGAAAAGGACGGCGTTCTCAGTTCAACACGACGTTAGGCGCTTACAAAAATGACTTGGCTTCTCTGCCCCCGAAGCTTGCAGGTGTTTGTTTAACAGCCTGCATAAATTGAGGCTAATCACAGCTCCGGCAGCTGCTGAGGAGTCCGACAGGCGGGAGGACACGGCCCCGTTATCTCGAGTGCAAGCTGAGCAAGCTGCTCCCGAGGGGAGAGTTAATCTATGCAGCCCCAAACGAAGCAGCCGGCCTCTCGCATCCACGGCTTCACAGGGGAGAAGCCGAGGACGGGGGCTGAATGGGATTAGGGCTGAGCAGGGAGGGGATGCTCGGGGCCACGCGCCGCCTGCTGCCAGGGAAACTGCCCTGTGACGAGGGCAGGCTGGGGGCCAGGGCCGGTCTCCCTGGGGTGGAGCAGGCTCACTGCCCAGCCTCGTGTCCCTTGGGACCTCGGAGCAGGATGCTGAGGGAGGTGGGCTCCAGAGCCCACCAGGCAGTGAAGCAAACAGGCAGCCCCCCAACATACCTAGCATTATGCAAGCCCCCTCCTTCCTGACCTACGGAAAGACACAAATAATATCTAACAAGCCAACAAAAGCAATTTATCTAAAGCATGCTTCTGTCAGGAGCCCAGACTCCTCCAGAAAGTGGGACAGTTTCCAGAGTGAGCCATTTCCTAAAAAGCAGGGCAGGTTTCCTGGCTTTGCTACACCCTCCTGGCTTCATTCACACATCTTAGCAAGCCGGGGATGAGAGCAGGGCAGGCACTTGGCAGCAGCAGGTCCTGCTGACCGCCTGCTTCTCTCTCACTTTGAGGACCCAGCAGGATGGGGCAGCGTCCCCCAGCCAGCGCCGAGCCCTTCTAGGGGGGCAAAAAGGGCTCTCTCCTTCCATCAGGACACAGCGCTGCACCCGAGGGCAGGAACACAGCAAGGGGGGGCTCCCAGGGCTCATTTCAGCCACACTCCCAGCAGCATGACGCAGGTTAGTGGCCGTAGCAGTTCGTTCTCTTTTCCTTCCAGCCAGTCCCTATGGCACACCCCAGCTCCTGTCCTTACCTGGGCAACCAGTGTCTCCGTGGCTTCCCCCAGGCTAGCACGCCCCAGCAGCTCTGCTCAGTGTGACAAAGCGAGGCCGTCAGCCAAGCACAGGACAGGCTTGGCCATAAAACCCAGCACTTGCACATCCTGGAGAGCTCTGCAGGGACAAAAGTCGATGTGAAATCACAAAGCATACATGAAATCTGCCTCCCCACGCGCCCGTACGTCCATCAGCAGAAGGCAGAAGCGATGGACTTGTGCTCCTGGCATGGCAAAGGCTAATGATTTCTGGGCACTCGTAATTGTTTCCGATCAGACTGACATTCACAATGCCTAACCCCGTAACAAGGCCACGGGGAGGCTGCAGTAGAACACTAATCACACGCTCAGCCCTCGCTCATTAGCTAAGCACGGAGCCTGGGCTTCCAGCAGCCAGGACAGGCTGGATCCCTGGGGGAAGGAGGCTCACCGAGAGGTGGGGAATGGCTCAGCACCGTTAGGGACTAGCTCAGTTGCTCCCCGTGTTTCAGTTTATGCCAGTCTTGTGCTCCCTTGTTATCCTAAGTGCCTGCCTCAATTACAGGCTTTATTACGCACATGGCTTAAACTGCTGAAGAACACAGTGCTTAGAGATTTAAAACCCAGCCTTAACGGTGGAAGTACTCATTCCTGCCAAGTACAATGGTCTTCAGAGGAGGATTTTCATTAGCTACCCATCTTTAAAGCCAGGCTCCCTATCACGGTGTTAAGCAGCAGCAGAACTGTGACCACCGATCAGCCTTTTGCTAGGGAAACCTCCCCACACTGGAGCAGGCAGCGTGCCCCTTGATGGCAGCCAGCTTGACTGTGACTTTGGTGCAGTTCACCCCAGGTGATTTCAGAGGGTCCCACAGCCTGAAATCAGCCCTCACACCTCAGAGAGGCAACAGGGACTGGGCTCAGGACACAGCTCGGCTGCAAGCTGTGGGATCAGCTGAGGCTGGGACTGTGCAGCCTTCCAGAAAGGGGCTGGAGAAGGAGAGACAGTGAGAAGGGAGTGCTGGTAGGTCCCCTACCTCAGAAACAATAAAGACCTGGTCTGTAGACAAGCTGGGAGCTTGGGAGCACCCAGCTGCACCCATCACCCCCTATCCATAAAGCTGGTGCGGGCACTGCTCACCTCCATGGCCACCACTTGCACAGGACAGCACGCACTGGGCCTGCGGTGCCTCAGCTCCATGATGCTTGGGATGTTCCCTCCCCCTTTTGCTTTAGGAAATGCATAATAAGATCTCGACACAAGCTGTGGAAATTGCATTCCTTTATCTTGCCTGTGCTAAGCCAGGAAGAACACGAGCAACAGCCCGAATACAATTCTCCTCCCGACAGCAAAGAAGTCAGCACCTCCCTTGCCCCTCAGCTTTCCGCTGCAGCTGAATTTCCATTTCTGGAGCTGCCCAGCCTGACCTCTGAGCACAAGCCCCGCAAAGGCCAGGCAGTGCTCCAGGGCTCCATTCCTGCTCCTCAGGACAGCCACAGAGAGAAAAGCCAGCAGTGCCCAGACACTGCATCACGAGGCATTGCCAAGAGGAGGAGGAGGAAGGAAACCAGGAGCCCCTCAGGGAGCATCCTGGCACACTCAGGCTGGGCAGCAGCAGGCCGTGTTTCTCTGTGGATACCTGGACCAGAGCAACAGCTCTCCTCTTTCATTGCAGAGAACCCACACAACAGGCAGGCAGTGGTCCAAGCTCTCTGCTTTCAGGCACTTGAAAAGCCAGGACTCCCACCCACACAAACACACCTGGCTCCCTACTCAGGGGTCTGTGAGCTCCCAGAAATTAGCCTGGATCTCCCTACAGCACGGAGGAGCCTGCAGGAGCCTCCGTAACAAATGGCCCAGCAGAATGCCAGATGGCTAATAAATCCAGCCTGAACACACCACCAGCTCATGGGAGCGCTGAACACTTCCAGTGCCTACAAACAGGCATTATAGACCGAGCTCAACTGGAGATGCTGGCTAAATCCAGTGTTTTGAGCAACTGCTGTATTAGCAGGCTGGGCAAGGCATGCAGGTCAGGGAGCCAGGGCCTGCCAGAAGACAGGACAGGGCTATTTTGCAATAAATATGTTGTATATCGTGTATTATCCAGCTCTGCGTGCAACGTCAGGGTTACAGCAGTGCCTCTGGAACCCGAGCAAGACAAAGATCTCATTGCAGGTCCTCACTCACCCTGAGGTCACGCTGCCACCAGAGCTCAGTGAGCAGCCTTCTGAGCCCCACGCAAAGGGAAGGGGCAGCTCCACTTTTCAGGTTGTCCTTGGGAAGCACAAGGTGAAGCTGGTGTTTTGACACTGGATGAGATACCTTTTTCAGACGTTGATCAGTCTCTGACTTTTTTCCCCGAAGAGCCATCTGGGAGACTCTCCTAAAGGCGCAGCTGACCTAGATGACAAGAGACAGCCCGTCAGCATTGCATGACTGCAGGAAACAGGCAAAAGGAAGGGGGCTGACAGAAGGAGAGCTCCTCCATCCCCAAAACAGAGGAGTCTTCTCTCCTTGCTGCTATCCAGCAGTCACAGGTTGTCATAAATGGAGATAAAATAGGACAGGGGACTGCAGCAGTTAAAGCCTCTCCCAGTCTTCGTCTAGACGCTCTCCAAGCATGCATCCAAGCCCCTGACAGCTGAGGACTGATGATTACAGAGTGAGCAGGGACAGCTCTGCTCCGATGCCCACCTCACCCTGGAGGAGCTGTCTCCAAGTTGACGGTGCAGCCTGCTTCAGACGAATTGGTCACAGGGATCAGCACGTCAGCAGAGCTCCAGTACAGCACCTCTGGAGCTCTTAGCAACAGCTCATGCTGGAAGGAAAAAAAAAAAAATAGCCTTGAGCCATCACGCTGCAAAGATGCCATCCCTTGTGCTGGCAGCTCAAAGGACGGGCATGTAGTACCTAATTTTCTTTTGGCCCCGTTGATTTTCTGCAGCTCTGCCTCCAGGTGCACACACACTGGGCAGCTCGTTCAGCCTTGCAGGAACACTGGAGGAGGAGGAGGTCTCTGTCCCACTGGGAGCAAGTGAGGTGGCCTAAAGAACAGAGACAGCAAAAGGCATTGCAGGACAGCTGGGTTAATGCAGAAGAGGGAACGGGCACAGCCAGGCATTCCCACTCCGCCTGGCAGCCACGTTCACGGGCTCTCAAGGCTCTCAAATCCTAGGCTGGAAAGCAAAGCATGGCAACTGTCAGCACTCACTGCCGTAAATAGGAACATTTTGGAAATAAACTGCATCTTGGAAATTAATCTGTGTTGCCTCACTGAGGGTTAGCACCTTACATTTGTAAAAAACAGAAACAAAAAAAACTCTTACTGAGTCAACAGAAAAGGAAGGAAGGAAGACATTTACTTGGCTGGAGAGTCCTAATACAGAGCTAGCAGCAGGCAAGAAACCCGAGGAGACTCACTCCTGCCTGGCTCAGGTTGCCCTGCTCCAAAACCCAGGATTTTTATATCCTTGGGTCAGACTAATTTCTCCTGCCATCACAGCAGCAGTGTTGTAAATGGCTTTTAAATGTCAAACTAGCACTTGAGTGCTTCTAAGGCAATGCACAACACGCACCAGGGATTATGAAAAAATCAGGCAGCATTAGTCAAGGCTGGGCCTTAGCACTTTAGCCAGAGATGACTTTGGCAGTTCAGCATTCACAGCACATGAAGCTCAGTGTTCCTCTACTCCTGAGTGCTGCCAGCTCTTTGGAGAGCCTTACAACTCTGGTGAGAAGCAGGCACGAGCATGCTTTGGTCACCTGGGAATTTGCAGAGCCTCTGGTGCGACTGCTTTGGGAAATCGTTCTGCAGCTGAAGTCCTGCAGCACGCCGTGGATCGCGCGTTCCCAGCAGACTCCTCTGCCACTGTGCTGGCAACTTCGTCCTAGCTCCAGGCTCCCTCATGCCAAGTCTGCGCTTCATCCAGCCCCCAGACAATCTGTCCCTGTGGAGGGAGCAATGTGTTGTCCAGATCTTTTTTTTTCCCTGGAGCAGAAGTGGACTCATGCCCAATATAAAGCAAATCTGGACCCGTAGTGCTGTGTGACACTGATATTTCCATCTCTTCCAGGTTATCCCAGACACCCGAGGGTACTCAAAGTGCCTTCACCCCCCAGCCTGTCAATGGGAGTCCAAGAGGCAGGTAACTGGAAGCAAGAGCATCTTCCAACACCTCCAGCGTGCTGGGGCTTTCACCCCCAGCCCTCACTGAGCATCCCTCAGGGCAGGTGGCTGGACACATACCCCAGCTCGCTGCCCGTGGCACACAGAACAAGCACTGCTGTGGAGTCAGCGTCCTCATTCCCCCTCCACACACGTGTATCTCGAGGGTTAAAATCAATAATCCTCTCTTCCTCTACCCATATTGTTAACACATCCAGGTAAGCAGGAAAACAGCCCCCTGACAGAGCTGTGTTTTTTCTCTTCACTAACTCCTGAGGGGCTGCTAGGCAGAAGCCTTTAATGAATCTGACAGAACTCCTAGCACAGAACAGCTCTACTATTTGATGCAAAGTTTAATTTGATTTCTCACTTGAGTAACTGAGACATCCTTGATATGCTTCCTTCGGCTTCTCCCCAGATGGATGTGCTGCATGTAGTTAACACCAGGACTCACCTGCATTTCACCCTCTGCCTTTGCTCCACTCTGCTCCTAACACTGACATCCCTCAGTACCTCCCAGGGCCGCAGAGCTCCTGCTCCCATCCAGGTGACCAGCTCTGGTCTTTGGAAAGGGCTTTCCATTCACTCACCCTCCTTTAAGCCAGGGGAAAACTGAGGTTGAATGGTGGCAGCAGTGTGACCCCAGACGATGTCGCAGGCAGGGGCTGAGGTAGGAAACGCAGCAAAGTCTCTCAGCTGAGGTCAGGACCAGCAATCTCTGCAGGGCAGCAGTCGTGGGAAGCAGCAGTTCCTTCCAGCTTAGGCTGCTGTGTTCCTCCACAGCAGCAGCTCCGTTCCAGCAGCAAGGCTTGCATCTATGCAGCACTTCAGGAACAGCTCAGGTACAGGGCTTTGAGAACAGAGCAAACGTTGTGATTGCTATCAAGTCTGAGAAGTATGGAGAGGAACATGGTGGTGGTGTGTTTTTTTTCTCTACTTTTTTTTTGTTATCTGCTGACAGGACACGCTGCAATGGCAGCCAGGTGCCCAGGCACCACAGACCTGCTGAACCAGATCCACTCTTGACACAGGGAAGACCCCCAGCGTCCCAAAGCCCAGCAGAGCAACGCAACCCCACACGATGGCCAGATGCAGACAAAGGTCCCCCCAGGACCCACCATGACCTAGGTTTCTGCCTGGTTCACAACTCACTCGTAAGCCAGCACAAACAACACTGGTTTAACTCAATCTGTTCACCTCCAAAACCTCCGAAGCACAACAGTCAATTTCAGAATCTTAAAGCAAACCGTTAGGGAGTGAAAGACGGATTTGCAGGCATTAAAGCCACAGACCAAGGAGCAAACAGCCACTTTTGATTGAGAAATCAATGCCTGGGGTTTACAACATTTCACACTAAGGAGCAGCAGAGATACCTCATCCCCCCAGGGCAAGGGAGGAGACACTAGAACCTGATGCTTCCAATAGCTAAAGCAGGCTTTGCATACCTTGAGTCCTGTGGGGTATGACATGCTTTCAAAAGAGACTGCTCAGATCAAACTGCTCAGATCAGAGTCCGTTTCACACCTCTTTTGGGCAGCTCGTGCCCTGGGTACAGCTCAGGCACAACAAGTGACCTCCAGGCCAGCTGTGCTGAGGTCAGGGAGCATCCGAGTGAAGCACCGACCCACCAGATGCCAAGCTACTGCTAGGCGGCCACGCAGCCCTCGCTGCAAAAAGGTTGTCCTGGAAAGGAAAAAAGATAGCCAGACTTGATTGATCAAGGTGCCAGAGGGAAGGAGCAAGTCATGAAGGAGAAAGGAGGAACAATCCCTGCGCCCGATGGGGGCTTTTACAAGCAAGAGAGACATGCTGACAAATTGCAGCAGGACCGCTGGAACCCCTGATTCTTTTAAAAGCACTGCTTTTCTCTCAGCTTTCTTCTCCTTTGTATACTGAAACCCCATCCTCAAAAGCCATCACAATGCCTCCAGAGGGAAAAAATACCCCTGGCACAAGGCAGACTTCCCTTTAGGCAAAGTGAATCTGCGTTAGCTGAGCAGAAAGGCTTTCATCTCAAACCCATTCATTTCCAGAGCACTTGACCCAAAAGGAAGCCTCCTTTATTCCTTTAAAAGTCACTTTCTTTACCCAGGTCCCGTGGCCTCAAAAGGGAGCCATTATGCAGCTTTCTGCTCTCACCACTGCCTGTTCAGGGCCCTTTCTCTCCTCCAGCCTGCAGCAGTGGCAGTCCCTGTGCTGTGCTCCTCAGCATCCTGAGTGCTGTGCCCCCAGGAGGGCAGGCAGCACCAACACCCTGCTGCAGGAGCTGAGCTCAGGCCCCCCCCCCTGCTCCCCAGAGCCTCCTGTGCCCCTGCCAGGCTCCGCAGACCCCCTTTGCCTGGAGGTGGTGACAAAGCAGGGGGGGTTCACCATTGGAAACAGCCAGATCTGACTGCTTCTGTCCTTCAGCAAGAGCTAACACAGCAGGAATAGCCATTAGCATCTGACTTATTTCCATCGGATGCTGTAAGCAAAAAGTTCTTTTGCATAAGGCACGGACAAGGCTGTAGCTGCAGGGCCTGGGTGACTGTGAACAGCTCAGCAATGCCACCAGATGCGCTAGACAGAAATCAGCTCGTGCAAACCGTGGAGACTGGGGCTCGAGGAGATTATTCCTCCTGAGAGAGCTGTGGGAGACTGTCAGAGCTCCCCAAGAAGCTGGCTGTGGTCTGCACCTCCAGCAGCTTGCAAACCTCATGGCCCCCACTAGGGGTGTCCCCTCACGGCCTGGGACAGGCACCCACCTCTAGCACGAGCAGCTCCAAACACCAGAAGATGTTACCTAGAGGGGACACAGCTCAGGAAAGTGATTTTATGCTCAGTCAAGTTCTAGCCCATCAAGTCACTGCTTCAGTGCTGAATTTTGCAATACTTGATGTCCAGCCTAAAGGCCCAGCCTCAGGCCAGGGAAACAACAACAAGATTCTCAGCTCAAAATCAGAATGAATTTCTACCCCTCCAAAACGGGGAGCAGAACTTGGACCCCAGTTCCCCAAAGCAGTGAAAAAGCACAAGTGCTCCAACACTGGTTGCATGAGATCTCTTAATTCCAGGTGTTTCTTTTTTGTTTGTTTGTTTGAGCAGCACTCTGTGCACATGTTGAGGGATCTGGCTTACTCACTGCACTTGGCCATCCTGGAGGGAGGGAACAGCTGCATCAGGCAGGACTGGCAGCAGAGAAAACTGCACTGGTGGTGATTCCTTAAGCTGAAGTGCTCACCGTGTACAGGAAGGTGACAGCCAGCATAAGCTACCTACAAGGCTTTATGGAATAAATCCAACGTGCTTCAATTCAACCAAACCATCTCTGCAGAAGCACTAAAATCTAAAAGGAGGGCATTAAGGGGCAGGAAACAGGAGGCAGGATCTCTGAATTGCCTTTCCAGTGAGGATGTGGTCTGCTGGAGGATGTGAGGGCAGCACAACTATCCTGGCACACCAGCAGTACATCACACAGGAGATGCAGCAGCTCCAGCCCCAGAAGGGATGGTGTGGGCTGAGCGCCCTGCTGGCACAGCCCTGCAGCATCTCCGAGCACGTTCAGAGCAAGTCGCTGCTCAAAGGCAGAGGTGACTTCTGAATCTGCTTGGGTGATTCCTAGCTATTTAAAATTGGGTTGGCCTTTGCTTGCCTTTAGCAACACTTTCATGGGGCTTTTTTCTTGCTCTTCATTTCCCTCAGCTGACTACCTCTGCAGCCACCCTTTTCTGCACAACCACCCAAAAAGCCAATGAAAGTCATTAAGGAAAATACTTCCCAAAGCTCGCAGAGATGAACAGGTTCTATGAGACTAATTTTTAGGACAACAGTGGAGGCAGGGAGAGGAAAGCTTAAGGACTTCCCATAGCAGAAAAATGGATCTATTAAGGCAGTGGGTGCTATCAGGGAAGTGACCAATTTCTTGCCAACCAGCATAGCCAGACATTTCTTCTAAAACAGATCCATCTTAGCTTCTCCGGAGCATGACAGCTTTCCCCTCTACCTGCCTGAATTGCAGCAGCCTAGCTTGACAGCTCTAATAGTGCAATTCAGTTTATTGACCTATTAGCTGCCACCTGCTTGGGACGCAGCCACGGCAGATTTGCCATTGTGTAAGCAGCAGAAGCAGCAAACATAAAACCCTAAATAAATTTTCAGAGGCTGTGAGCAGTATAATTAATCATATGGTCTTTCACGAGGCGGCAGCAGCAGCAGGGAAGCAGACAGGGGAGCACAGAAGGCAAAGCTGCAGGAGGAGGACATCAGGGCACCCTTCTGCTGCCTCCCCCCGCTGCCAAAGACGAGGCACGAGCCAAGGCTGGAGCCTAGGTCAAACCCCATTTCACTGCTCACTCATTTCTTGAACCTGAGCGAGCGACTGTCTCCCACAGCAAGCTGTATTCATGCACATCCTTGATCAGCAAATAAGCGGCATTCACAGTGTTTGCAGTTTTTAAGTTCAGAATGCTTCAAGTCCACTTCCCGTTGTGCTGAACTTGCATCTCCTCCTTTCCCCCGTGACCTCTGAATCTGGCACAGAGCAGCCAGCACAGAGTGAGAGCAGAAAACAGACATCAGAGAAGGAAACAGAAGGGAAAGCTTTCAGCACCCTGAACTTGGTTCCTTCCAGCTCCTCAGTTGGCAAACGCACAGAGCTTGTATCTTCCTCGCTGCCTGCATCTCACTGCGATCTCGCCTTTTCTGCTCCCCTGCCAGTGCACCATTTTGGGATGCTGCTTCCTGCTGCCCACCCCATGACTAAATTGCTCCACGAAGGCGCACACACAGGCAGCTGGTTGGGAAAAGAAATAGGAAGCCCTAAATCTTCCTGAGTTTAGGACACGGCACATCTCTGCCCCAAGACCTCCTGCCGTGCTACCTGACAGCAATGCTCTCCCTAGACACCCTGCCCTTCAGCTCATCAGCAGGAGCAAACAGAATAGCGTGGCCCTTAGAGAAACCTCCTATGATATCCACTTTCAAAAGCCATCAGGGACTCTTGGTGACACTTGGACTCATCAGGATCCCAGAAGTGACAAGTTAGGAGCCAGCAGTACCTTTCTGAAGGGTGATGACAGACGGCTTGGCTAAGCCCTCTGCTCCTCCTGCCTTGCATCTTCCCTAATCCAAGCCGGGTGGTCAACACAAGGTCCTTGTACTGCAGACAGAGGTCCTGATCTGTGAAGACAGAGATGAGAAATCAAGTTTTTATTTCCTGCCACTGAAGTGGAGCCAGGCCCTGAGCTCCAAGATCAGCCCATCTCAGAGACACATCTCTTCTTCCACCCTTTACTTCAACCCACTGCCTGCTCACTGGGTGGCTGGCATCCCTCCCGCTCTGAGCGGCTGCTGTTTCTCTAAGCAACATCGATGCACTGCTGAGCAAAAGTCCCCCTCAAAGTGGGGGTAAAAAAAAATAAAAATATATATATATATTTATATATATCTATTTTATTATATATATATATATATATATATATATATATTCCAGCCTTTGAGCCACACTTTTAATATCTTTTTTTTTTTTTTTTCCCCTGCCAGAAGAAAGTAAATTCCTTATGCCAGCTGGGCTGCAATCTCACCACCACATATCTCTGCTTCAGCCCTGGCTGCCAGCCCCTCTGCACAGATGGCAAACGCGAGGCTCGTATTCCCTCCACGCCACCCCTTCTGCTTCTGCAGCCCTTGGCGCTGGCCAGGCAGCACGGTGGGCACCAGGCACTGAAGGGCAGACAGAGCTGGGCCGACCACCCACAAAAAAAAACAAAATTCAAGACAGATCCAAGCGCTGTGGATGCCTTGGCAGAGCTGCTCTGGTGGCTGGTAGGGCAGTGGCAGCACCTCGCTGGCACCACCAGGAGGAATTGCAGGTTTAATGTGGCAGGGCCCTGGACAACTCTGATCGTGGTGAGAATCAAAAGAAAGGGACCTGGAGGCCCAGGACTGCCTCCGTTTTGGTGCATGTGTCCATGCTGCCTGACTGGCACAGAGCACCCAGCCCCGGCCAAAACACCCTGCTTGGCCTCACCAAACTGAGCTGGAGAGTGTCAGATGCTGCCATGGCACGGCAGGGAAGGGAGCAGGTTGTTTGGGGATGGTGACAGATCAGCAGCCACCAGGTCACACTGCCTGGCTCTGGCTGTTGCACGCGGGCAGCTGAATGGCATCTGTCAGTCGCCACCCTCAAGCTGTGTCTCGAAGCCAGCTGCCATCCCACTCCCACCCAAACCATCCATCAAGCATCGTCTGTGTCAAGCTAGTTTTTATTTTAAACCTAACGTCTGTAAAGTGTTTTGCCTTTAAATTATTCTGCAGACTCACTCAGTTAAACAGCATTTCCCAGTCTAGACAGAACAATCTTGTTGTCAGTGAAACAGATTCACCCTGACATCCCCACGGTGCGTGGTGATGCGGTTGCTATTTTGGAAAAACAGAAAGAGCTAAAAGCTTTTTCTCTTACGGTTTTGAAATGATTCCTGTCCACTCAACTTCAAACAAACACCTCAATAAATGATCCAGCCGTGTTTGATCTCTATTAGGAAGCCACATGGATGGAGAAAGGGGAAACGGTTTGGCATCTGTGTGATCCGACATCTGAGTGCTTCCTGCAAGATGCCTGCCCTCCTCAAAGGGAGGAATTCCCTCTCCTGCTCTGGTTTTCCAAACTGGCTGATTTGGCTCTTGTCTCCAGACTGCAGGCTGAGGAGTGCAGTTTGGAGCCCTCAGGTCCCCCTAGTGTGATACCAAGGACTCTGCTCCCAAGCAGGGACTTGCCTGATTCTCCGTGGCTGTGGGGCGAGCCGCAGGTGACGGGCATGAAGATGCAACCGAAGCATCAGCAGCCTGAAAGAGATATCAAACCAAGTCAAAATACATCCTGCATGTCAGCTTTGCCCCCATGCCTCCTCTTGTCAGTGCATGAGAAGCGACAAACGCTTCCTTTACATTATAATTAAAAAAAGAATTTCCCCCCTCATGAAAAATCTGCACAAAGGAAAAGGTAAAGCAGGCAGAGCGTTTGACAGCACTTCACGTGTAGTCAGCTCTGCTGTAGCCTGCGGAGCTGTGAGAGCGAAAACAGCCTGATCAAACCAAAAATAATATTTTCCCCTTTTGCTCTGTCAGTGACAAATCCTTGATGCCTGCAGTGAGAATAACGTACACCAGCTGGGGAGCTTTCATCTTGCAGTAACACAGCTACCTGCCCAACCTGGCACAGTGGTGGGGGAAACGCATTGAGATATTACCCAGCATCAGATTCACTGCAAGCACCAATCCTGATGTCTTCAGCTGGCTTGAGAGGATCCCGAAGCCACAGGGTCCACCTTCAAACCTGATGCTACATTAAGCAGTCCCTCTGCTCTTGGCCTTCAGCCGATCCGATCACTGCAGAAGCCATCAGCACGTGAGAGGCTGTTCTGCGAGAGCCCCAAAAGCAACAACTAAGCAAAGCAATTCACATTTCAACGCACGTGGCATCAAGGTTGCGAAATTCTCCCATCCCAAAGTGCTCCCAGCAGAGCCTCTGGGTAGACCTGAGCTCCCTTTTCTGCCAGAGGTGCCAGCACCTGCAGACAACAGGCTGAGAGCTCTCTCAAGCTCCCCCAGGTGAGACAGGTAGGCTACAAATGCAGCACAGCCATGTTCAGGTGTGTTTTCAAGCACAAACAGTGGGATGGAGATGTGGACACCAGCCCTTTGAGGTGGCCAGGGCTCCTCCATCGCACACAAACCAGCTCACCTCTCCAGAGCAGCTGCTCGGGATGGAAGCAGCAATTGCTGGTCCCCCAGCTCTGGGGAAAAACCTTCTCACTGAACTAACGAGCTGGCAAAATAAAATATAAATGCCTCAGGAGACACGAGGCATTTAGCAAGTCCTGGGCCAGCAGAGCCCACTTCATCGTGAAGCTAGTGGTTGCACATCAGAGCACTGTACCTGCTCCATCTTGTGACACTTGTGTTGGAAGGGTTTGATGACTCCCAAGAAATGCCGAGCCAAGAAGCTTTTAGGAACTACTGAACTGCCTTTTGAAGAGGCAGGAGATGCATGTACCTAATCCAGTCTTAAAACTAATGATTTAATTTACCTTATGTGTACCAAGCCAGCATTAATGAGCATCTCCCAGTAGTATAACATCGGAATGTTTTATCTGGAGATTATGCTGATTAAATCATCAGGTGCCGTAATCTTACCTTCTCCTCTCAATAAGAGGAGTAAAAAAAAACTTAAAATATAGACATAGCCCTCTAAGCCACAGCAGGGAACTGCACATTTGAGCACTCTTCTTGCTTAGCAGAACGTGCCCATGAGGCTCCCCATCCTGGAAGATGTTGTTCTAGCTGGTGCGGTGCTCAGAAGGAAAATGAAGGCACTTGTTCGGAACTGAAGAGAAGCCAGGAGACAGAGGAGGAGCTTCGAGATAGTACAGGTGCTACACTGGATGCACAGCTGCTGCCTGAGGCCACTGGGTCACTTGCTGATGGGACAGGAGATGAGGATGGCCTTTCAGGTCACAGCCAGTGGTTCCTTTGGTTGAATGCACAAGGTAGCCAAGCTTCCCAGAGCTCCTTCAGAAGATCTCTGCATCCCTCAGCCCTTCTCCTTGCCCCACTCCTCAAGGAGCTGCACTGCTCCGAGGGTGAGGCTGGTGGGCACCATCCACAGAGCAGACACCTCCCTCCACCTGCCCCCAAAACCTGCCTTTTCACCAAGGTTTTGCTCTGCAAGCATCACTGAGGAAATGCAATGGGAGCTCCTGAGGCTATAAATCTGCTTCCAGAACACCAGACACTGAGGCCGCCGGTCACTGCAAGCTACAAATCCAAGTGGCTTAGATTCCTCGTGCAGGTAGACAACACCTTAGCAGAGGGGAATAAAAAGAGAAGCCTGCTGAAAACACCTCCATTCCACCTCTCTCATCTTCCCATCTCTGCCTGCACCACCTCTTGCTGTACACCGAAGTGAAGGAACAAACCATCCTACACCCCTGACGAGTCAACGAGACCTACCTTGACTTCTTCAAACAGTTATCGCCTGCTGACAGTGGGTTTCCAGACCCAGCCTTTGGGACCCGATTGCAAACACTTTCCGGCAGCTCTCTGCCACGTAATCATGTTTGGGTACTTCACATCTAACGGCTTTGTCTGCTGCCTGCTTGGATTGCATGCAGAGTGCTCCAGAGCCCTTGGGCACAGGCACTTCAGAAACAGAACACCTTTTATTTAAAGCCAATTCAAAACCGCAGCGGTGAGTTTGAAAGCTTCCCTGGAGAATGACAAAGGATCTTGTTAAGCTTATGGCAGAAGAGGAGGGGTCCAAGGCCAAAACAAGACCCTACAACAGAAAGCTCCCTCTGCAAAAGCAAACTCCAGACATGGCTTATACTGATCTCTGGCACAAACAGGTCTCGAGTAGGCAATCCGTATCTACAAGTCCAAACCTCAGTTTGATCAATATTGACTCGCCCTTCCAGCCAGTCGTTACGCAAGTCAGCGTTGGTGTTTATGAAGTGAGTGGATTTTGTGAAAGAAGGGTGCTCAGCAGCTGTCGTTAGATTTGCTTATTTGGAAGTTGGGTCAAATAGCAAGCTTTTGCCAGCAGTTCTGAATGTGGGCTGCAACCACCACATTCACTGTCTAACTTTCCTCATAAATACAATAATTATTCCGCTGTTGTAAAAGCTTTGAAGCCTTCAGAACAGAGAAGCATTATCTGGAAGTTTGATACCACAATGAAGTTTTCAAGAGGAACTCTATCCCACTAACACCAGCCCATGGCTTGTGCAGAAAACACAGCTCCAGCCCTGTCCAGACGAGGAAAAAACTGGTATGGTGCAAAAGGATCCACACTTACAGGCTCTGTAAGGAGGCATTTTCTCAGCAAGAGTTATTCTGACAGACAAGAGAAGGAATGTTCTGACTTGCAGCTCCACAGATCTGCAAGCTGTAAGAATTCTCCCTTTGTGAAAATTATTATTCACTCCCATGGCCCTGTGAGCCTGCATGACGACTCACAAAGCAGAGGATGGATGCGTTTCCTTCCCGGAATACCTTTCAAATCACAGCTCTGACCCAAAGCCTTTCTCACCTAGGAGCAAATCATCATCTTACCATACAAAACTGGACTTCGCCAGTACGATTTAAGTGGAAAAATGTCAACTCAGAACAATTCTTCACATCCT